TTTTGACTTTTTAATAATAAACATTCGGACTGGAGTGAGGTGACATATCATTGTGGTTTTGATTCATATTTCCCTGATGATTAGTGATATTAAGTATTTTTTAATATACCTGTTGACCATTTATGCCCTCTTTTTTTAGAAATGTCTATTGAGGCCTTTTGCCCATTTTTAATCAAATTATTTGAGGGTTTTTGCTATTGAGTTCCTTATATATTCTATGTATTAACTCTGTCAGATGAGTAGTTTTCAAATATTGTCTCCCATTCCATAGGTTGTATCTTCACTCTGTTGATTATTTTATTTGCTGTACAGAAGCTTTTGAATTTGATATAATCCAATTTGTCTATGTTTGCTTTGGTTGCTTGTGCTTTTGAGATCATAAAAAAACCTTTCCAGTCTAATATCATAAAGCATTTCCCCTATGTGTTATTCTATTAGTTTCATATCTTTTGGTATTACATTTAAGCCTTTAATCCATTTCAGTTGATTTTCATATATAGTGAAATACAGAGGTACAGTTTCATTCTGCGGCATATGTCCAGTTTTCTCAGCACTACTTATATTTATTGTACAGATTGTTCTTTCCTTTATGTGTACCCTTGGCACTTCTGTTGAAAATCAGTTAGCTTTAGATGTATAAACTTATTTCTGAGCTTGGATGATAGCCCCCTCCAAACCTTGTGCTGAAACTTGATCCCCAGTGTTGGAGGTGGGACCTGAAGGGAGGTGTCTGGATCATGAGGGCGAATCTCTCATTAACAGATTAATACCTGCCATTAAAGGTAAGTGGGTTTGTACGCTGTTAATTTCTAGAAGAGCCATTTGTGAAAAAGAGCCTGGCACCTACACCTACTCTCTCTTGCTTCCTCTCTCACCCCATGTTCTCGGAACATGCTAGCTCTCTCTTGCATTCCACCAGGAGTGGAAACAGCCTGGAGTCCTGACCAGGTTCAGATGCCCAATCTTGAACTTTCCTCATCAGAATTGTGAGCCAAGTAAACCTTTTTTCTTTATAAATTGCCCAGTCACAGCCTTCATAGCAATATAAAACCAACTAAGAAAGGATACATATGTTCTGTACCTAATTTGTTGAGAGTTTTCTTTTATTATAAAGAAATGTTGAATTTTGTCAAAAAAAAATTTTGCATCTATTGAAATCATCATACAGCTTTTGTCCCTCTTTCTGTTAATGTGATGTATCACAATTATTGATTTGCACATGTTAGACTATCCTTGCATCCCTGATAAAACTTACTCCTCCCATTTTGCTCATTGTTTTCTGGTTTTTCTGGAGAACCTTTGTTCCTTTCTTCCTCTCTTGTTGTTCACCTTTGTGGTTTGGTGGTTTTCTATGGTGCTACGCTTTGCTTCTTTTCTCTTTTCCATTTGTATATCTCTGCAACTTCTTTCTTTGTGGTTACCATGGGGCTAACAAATAGAATCTTTTAATTATAATAGATAATATTAAACTGATAACAACTTCACTTTAGTTTCACAAAAGGATTTTAGACTTTTGCCCACCCCATACAATTTATATTTTTGTTGCCTTACTTTACACCTCTATATTATATGTGTTCCTTAACAAGTAATTGTGGAGGTAGTTATTTTTAGCATTTTAACTTTTAACCTTCATACTGCAGGTCTGAAAGCATTTTTGTTTTTTTTTTTTAGTTGGAGTCCCACTCTGTCACCCAGACTGGAGTGCAGTGGCATGCTCCTGGCCACTGCAGCCCGGACCTGGGCTTGGGTGATCCTTCCACCTCAGTCTTCCAAGTCGCTGGAACTACAGGTACACACCCCCACACCTGGCTAATCTTTGGGTTTATTGTAGAGACGAGGTTTCACCAAGCTGCCCAGGCTGGTCTCGATTCCCTGGGCTCAGGCAATGTCTTTCCTCCATCTCCCAAAGTGTTGGGATTATAGATGTGAGCCACCATGAACGACTCTGAAAGATTTAAATAGCACCATTACAGCACTGAAGTATTCTGAGTTTGATTATACTTTTACCTTTACTAGTGAGTTTTATACTTTCACGTGTTTTCGTTACAGCAATTATTATCCTTTTGCTTCCAGCTATTGCACTTCCTTAAGCATGCTTATAAGTCTGGACTAGTGATGATGAACGCCTTCAGCTTTTGCTTGGCTACCTTTCTTGGTATACTATTATTGGCTGGCAATTTTTTTTCTTTCAGCACTTTGAGTATATTATCCCATTCTCTCAAGGCCTACAAGGTTTCTGCTGAGGAATCTGCTGATGATCTAATAAGGATTCCCTTGTATGTGACTTGATACTTTTCTCTTGTTGCTTTCAAACTTCTCTCTGTCTTTTGACAGTTTGATTATAATGTGCCTCAGAGAAAACTTTTTTGGATTGAATCTATGTGGGAAACTTTAAGCTTTCTAGATTTGGATGTCTATCTCTCTCTCAGTGGCTGGGAAGGTTAGGGCTATTGTTTTTTAAATATGTTTTCTGTGTATCTCTCCATATCTTCTCCCTCTAGTAATCCAATAAAGTACATATATGTTCACTTAATGGTGTCCAATAGGTCCTATAGGCTTTCTTCATTTATTTTAATTTGTATTTCTTTATTTTTCCCCTCTGGGTGAGTTATTTCTTTTTTAAAATTTATTATTATTTTTTAAAATTTATTTTTAACTTAAAGATGTGGGGTATAATTCAGGATTAGGTATACAAGTGGCCATCATACCAATAAAGTTTGGGCCTCCCTTTGCTGATTGGGTTATTTCAAAAGACCTGACTTTAGGTTCAGAAATTCTTTCTTCTGCTTGATGTAGCCTGTTGTTAAAGCTCTCAATTGTATTTTTATTCCATTATTTAAATTCTTCTGGTCCAAGGTTTCTATGTGGTTCTATTTAACTATATCTCTCTCCCATTCATATTCATATTGGATATGAATTTCCCCTTCATATTGTAAATTGTTTTCCTGATTTCAGTGAATTGTTTATCTATATTATTTTTGTATCTCATTGAGGTTTCTTACAATCATTACTTGAATTTCTTTTCAGGTATTTTGTAAATTTCCTTTTCTTTAGGATCTGTTACTGGATAATTATTTTGTTGTTTTGGAGGTGTCATGCTTCCTTGCTTTATCATGTTTCTTGTCACCTACTTTGATATATACACATCTGGTGAATTAGTACCACTTCCAATTTCATGGAGTAGCTTTCATAGGGAAATATTTTTCCTGCAGATGGGTCCTACTGTGTCAGTGCGCATTAACTTTAGTTCTAGGTGGACACAGTCTCTATGCAGTTTCTTCAACTGTAATCCATGTCATTGACATCTGTATGCATCTCAGTCACCTGAACTGTAGGAATTTGGAGCAGCAGTGGCACAGCTTTGCTGGGGGAAGAGCCACCAGGCTGGTTCTCAGATTGGCAGTAAATGCACAAGGTAGATCAGCCACCCATGGGCTTGGCTTCCCCAATGTCCAGGACCACCTGTTCCTTGGGAGGGGCAGGATGCCATGTGGCACAAGAGTCATGGCCACTCCACTGGGTCTAGGGTCTGAGTAGCCAGGGTTGTGTTGCAGCCACCTATAAGAGCATGGTAGAATGATGACAGAGCCTCAAGGATGAAGAGATGCAGTGGTTACTGGCCCTTAGGGTGCAGCACACTCTAGGAAGGACTTCAGTGTGTAATAGCAGCTTGGGTCATGGGGGTGGGTGGTACACATCACAAGCTTCTACTCTGAAGTCATGCAGCCATGGAAACCCAAAGGCAGTTCCTCAAACTGGGCTCAGGGCCTGTGAAGAGTACAGTATTCTCTTGTTGCAAGGTCTACAGATGTCTGCAGTGGTAATAGCAGTTGCTAGGGGCTTCCTGCTTACCTTTTCCCCACAAGGAGAAGTCTCCCATGGCTCTGAGCAAATCCTGGCAAGGGATATAGTATAGTAGAGGCAGAGTGCTTCATCATCCTCTCTATGCGGCCATCCTGAGTTTCTGTGCTCCACAGGGATGTAACCACTCCCTTACTGCACTCCAGTGCTCTCCTTCAGACAGTCTAGTAAAATTCTAATTGTTTAATTGTTATTTTGGTCCTTATTATGTGAGGGGTAGGGTGCGTGTCAGTCACCTCTACTTAGCCATCTTCTGACATCCAGGAAATATTTTGAGTGGAAAATAGAATAGGCTCTTTCTGATGTTTATTCTGCATTTTCACATTTTCAAAGACAAATATTTGAATCTTGCTTTTTAGTGTTTACCGATGTAGAATAAGAGTAGGGTTTTATAAATCCTTCCTTCTGTGTGATTTTTCCGGTGAGTCATCTATTATATTCCTTGACACATTTTGCAGTGAGTGTTATATGTGGTGTTAAGTGGTAGAAACAGTATTAGACCAGAGTAAGTCTACACTTCCTATGTGACCTTCAAAAAATAATTGTAGCTCCCTCGGCTTCAGCCCTCTCATCGGAAAAATAGAAAAAACCACACCTCATCTTCTCAGAGACAAGTGTGAAGATTGGGTGACATATTGAATATGAAAACATTTTCTTTCTTTTTCTTTTTTTAAGATACAGGGCACAATTCAAGGTTAGGTATACAAATGGTCATTGTACAGGTAAATTTTGGGTCTCACTTTGGTCCTCACCTCACCTAGTTTGAGATCAGGTATCCTTATTGATGAAGGTTTCCCCCGGCTGTTTCCAACTACTGTCAATTTCCTTCTTATAGTACTATGACAATTGTTCATAAAACATTTTCAACTTTGAAGGAGCTTGAAGATATTAGGTATTGTTTCTATGAATTCAGAAATTATTAAATAATTACCAAATTAGATCATGAATGTGATATGGCCTAAAAAGGCAGTGCAAATACAAAGTATTATATATACAAAATCTGTTGTCAATTAAAGAAATATTCCAATCTTCCACAAAGGGTATCAAGAGACCATTAGTTTCACAGTAAACATTATAATATTATGACTTAAAACATGAACATATTGTATTGGACAATATATTTTTATTTTGGTACTTACATGATTACTACATGTCTTGTATCGAATGTTCTGCCCTTCACAATTCCTAAATGAATAAAGAAAAAGGAAAATAATGATTTCATAGACGATGCAAGCATTCTTTTTTAAAAAAAAAAGCAAACACAAGGCACTGGTTTCCTGTAAAATTTTTACTAGTGCACATTACTTCAAAGCTTAAATTCTAAGAAACGAATTTTCAAGAGTCAGGGGCCAAAACATCTTGTGGAAATGTCACAATAAATAAAGAGTGAATTTTTAGTTGCTTAATATAATAATATTACATGCAATCCTTACCCCAGGATCCATATAATCACTGAAATTAATGTACAATGGGTATGTATAATGTATTCATATGTGTACTTTCTTTTCTTGTAGAGAAGAAGAGAGAGCTTCAGGCAGAGGAACTTGTGTAGCATGTTCCCACTAGGAAATCTCTCTTCCCTGCTTACTTAAGCAACCCAAGTTAGCTGGGCACTCACCATCCTTCTCTAGTTAGTACGATTGTCTCTGTTACAAGTTTACTTAAGGCAATGCTTTTATTTTATTTAACCATTGATCTTACTAAATGTATGCTACAAAATGATGTTGGGGTAACTTTTTTAGGATGTCAATACTGGTAGGTTTGAGAATTCTTGAGGGATAACCTGTCCTCCCCTCCAGCCACTTGCTCTGGGACCCTGCATTTTCCAGGTAGACCTTTCCTTTGGGAGGTTAGACTTCCATCTAGTAAATACCTTCCTCAGTAAAGTGCTTGCTGTTCTATATTTTACATATAGTCCTTAAAGATACTGGATCTATTCATGGCACTTTCCCCAGTTTTCAACATAGTTACATATTTTTTTCCCTTTAGGCTTTCCTTGTTAAGTAAATGGCATATTTGATGCAACAAAAGCTAAACAAGGTTTAAATAATCATCTTGAATTACAAGTCAATAGACACTATTTTAATTATTTTAAAAATTATTTAGTCCTGAGGGAATAAAAACATTTAAAAAGTTGATATGAGCTACTCCGGTAAGATGGTGACAGCATAGGTGGATTTGTGAGATTATCAGAACGTGAGTTTTCAAAAAGACTCTTACTTTTCTTCCCTCACTCCCCTGCCCACGGCCAGCCACACTGGTCCGAGGCCTGGGGACCTTCGGTCCCACACAGGGCCGGATATTGCAGCCCCTGGCTGCTGCTGCTCCACTATATGTGACTCCTGCCTGCGTGGGAGTCCAGGTTTCGGCTCCCTCCCTGGCTACATCTTCTCACCCAGCACCCAGCACCAAGCTGCCAGTCACCCAGGGAGGCTCAGGGCGTCCGCCCTTCAGAGATACCAGTCCCATTTCTGGCTGAAGTACCCTGTGAGGGACCCAGGGCCACTCTTGCCACCCACAGTCTGCCCTGTGGAGCTTTGGAGCTCTGGAGCTCTGGGCCCACCCCGGCTGAGGCACTCAGCGTGCCATCCCATGCTTGTGTAAGGGAACAGCATATCTTAAGGAGGTGCTAATTGGAGGCTCTCAGCTCCAGAGAAGGGAACTCCTGACCCCCTCCTCCACCCCAGCTTGCTGGTGGCACCCCGGATCCAGCGCCCAGCTGTGCAGCTGATCCCCGGTGCCTCCCACTCCAGCACAGTCCATCACAGTGGATTACACAGGGACCCAGATGAGCAGAGAGAAAAGATCCGTGAAAGGGAAGCTGCCACCTCAGCGATTCTCCAGGCAGAGATTTGCATTGCCCCACCCACCTATCAGCAGCTTCCACCTCGGTTCCTAAGGTAACATCGCTAAACAAGAGTCAAAGCCCCTCCCCTACTGAATCAGACAAAGGTAACATCACAGACCTCCCAGGCAGAAGGCTTAAAAAAAAAAAAACCCAAGCTGCCAGTAAATCTAGCTGCCTGCAAGGAAAACAAAGGGGAGAGGCTGGAGATCAGAGCTGAAGAGACTTTAGACACTCAGGAAGTGTCTAGTGTTCAGAGCTAGCCTGATCTCTTATTTTGACTTTTGATTTTATCATTTTGACTGTTTGTTTTACTCACTTTTGTTTGCTTTCTGACTTACATTATCTGTTTCATGATTTTATTGGTCTGTTTCTGTGTAGCTACCAGTATCCTTTAGGGAATTTTGCTCATGTGTTTATTTCACTTCTCTCCATCCTTGTGTCTCCTTTTCACTTGTTAGTTGGTATGTATGTCTGTTTTCCCTCTCACTCTCCTCTCTTTCTAACTTCCTATTGACCACCCCTTCCTCCTTTATTTTCTTCTTTTGCACCTCCTTTTGATCCATGGATCAAATCAACATACCACTGCACAGACAGATTGTAAATCAGTGAGAAATAGGTTCCAGTGTGCCCATACACCTGTTGGTGGATACTGGAATCAGCATATAGATTCTGAATCACAGCTTCCCTCTTAATTAAACCTCAAAACCACAAAAAGTGAAGCCCGCAGCACACACTCAAACATCAAAAGTAAACAAAGCCAGAGGACCCTCACAAGGAAGACCAGGAGATTGCACAAGTGAAACTAAAGCAACCCTACCTTCCCTGAAAAACAGAATTAAAGAAGGGGAGGGAAAGGGGGAGAGAGAGAAAAATCCACACAAATGAAGAAAAACCAAAAGAAGAATATGGGTCTCTCCCAGACCCCTGGGAGGGTAGAAACTGAGAAAACTGACTTCATAATGCAAACAATGAAGAGCCCTCAGAATGACTGGTCCCAAACTACAAACCTAGATATCAAGACAGTAATGGAGAGATTAAAAAGAATTGAGGAAACACAAGAAGAAACTAGGAAGGAGCTGATATCTGAGATAACAGTAATAAAGAACACTGTGAATGAAATAAATAACAAACTGATAAGCATGGAAAGCAGAATTACCCAGGCAAAAGAAAGAATCACAAAACTTGAGCACCAAAATATAGAACTAACCCAAACTCTTAAAAACACAGAAAACAAGCTCAGAAAGACAGAATAAAACTTTCAAGAGATGAGCAAATACTTTAAGAGACCGAACCTAAGAGTAATTGGCCTTCCTGAGGCAGAGAGAGACAGAGATCACTCTGGAACAAACTTTCCATGAGATCATTCAAGAAAACTTCCCTTATCTAATCAGTGATGCAAAAATTCAAACACAAGAGATTCAGAAAACCCCCACAAGACAACAAATGACAAGACCAACTCCTAGACATAATGATCTGCCTAAACAAAGTAGGCATAAAAGAAAAAATCCTAAAGGCAGCAAGAGAAAAAGGCCAGATCAACTACCATGGA